CGATAAGAAAGTCTTGCCACGAGATTCAACGAGAGTTCCAGATTCGTTCCCTTTTTTACTTCTACATATAGAAGTAAAGACTTCTACATATAGAACCCTAGCAACCCTGTCGTCACCCCCCTGTCTCACTCCCTTCTTCCTGGCCAGAACCAGCACGGTCGCTCTTGCTCCTAGTTCCTTACTCGAGAACCCGAACCCCCGCCATCAATTTCACCCTCACTCCTATTCCTAGTCTCAATTCCATCCTTACTTTTCTTCTCTTTCCTCCCATCGCCAATCTCCCATCTTAGCTTTTTGGCCTTTGTCCCTCACCTAGACTCTCGCACCCGCCCTCAGCACTGGCAACCCCCTCTCGCCTGCGTCCCAAATCATAATGACTTAACAGTTATTAGACCCAAATCACACCTACATCTTCACACCTAGCGTCGGAAACCCTCAATTTATATCAACGACACCTCATTTTGCGCGGCGAGACTCACGCCATTAGGTCAGCTCTTCCGTCTGACCACGCAAATTCCGCTACACTCCTTTCACCACCTAGTGTATAAAGAAAGCATTACTCGGGCGACGAAACATGAGATTAAAATTTAGCTCAGAGGCTTCTTTTAGGCTTGGGGATCTTTTACATGAGAAAGTCTACAAGGGACAGACGGCTTTACTTCATCTCCAAAGGAAGGCGTACGAAGGACTTCTTGCCTTTTAAAAACCCATGGGATTGAATGGACATGATCTCGCAAAACTGGGTTATGGCTGCCAGATACCCTAACCACTGCACCGCCACCTCGCTTCAGTCCTTTCCCGAAATCATAGCCTCACCCCCCCACCCCCGCTTGGTGTAGCAGCGTGGACGGCCCCTGCCTCCCAAAGGTATGAGCAAGCGCCAGCGCAAACTTTTCTGACAGCGGCGCGGCGGAGGCCATCAGAGGCGGTGCCGCCGAGGGACGCCCTCCTTCCCCCTCCTCCACCTTCCCCTCCCTCCGCAGGGGTCCCCTCCGGATAAATCGCAGAGATTTATAGCGCTGCCTGCGCGAATACTGTTCCGGCTCACTTGCCAACGGGGGCGGCCCGCTCCTAGCTCCTACAGCGGAGCGCGGAGGAACACAGCGCCGAACGGCCGCGCTGCCGACAGTTTGCTCGCAAATTCCACCGAAAAAATGTTCGAGTAAATAAGCTCGCTTTCTCGACGTGAAACGTCAGCTATTCAAGAAGCCTTGGTTGGCTCTGAGCTGTCACATTGCCCCTATAGTTCATTCGTGTGTGAACCCTCCGCATTGCCGCTGTTTTCAGGATTTACGTTTGTACTCTAGAAGCAGTACTTTAGACCGCTGAATTCCACTTTCGAAGTCATGCATCGCCTGTAGTCTCCTCTTTCCTGCAGTAAATCAGTGCCCCTAGTAACAAGTGTCTAACTTAAGAAGTCGATGCGTGGCCAGAGTTGAGACAACAGAGTAAGGAAGCGAATAAAATGTTCCTACTATAGGTAGTTAGACGTCAATAAATAATTATTTATATATTATGGAATACATGGTGGTTTGCCACTGCATTCCATCCAACTGTCACGCGGTGATCTCATGATATACCAAGATGATCGGCACAAGGGTTTGTATGGCCTTGAAGGGAACAGGATTCAAAGTAACAACCTTTCGTTCTGCCCACCACGATAAACGTTGAAACCGCCTGCGGCACGTGAATCGGGCGATTATCGATCGAAAATTTAGGAGGCCACAATGTCATTTTCGACTAATTACCCACTAATCATACACTCGTCTGTTCTGCATTCAGTTAGCAATCGATGATTGTTAGTGTTTCTAGACGCACTAATATTAATAAGAGCATTAGTCCCATAAGTGTAGTGTATGTTTCTTCCTTGGAAATTGGTTGTGATCTTCCCCCGCTGAATGGCAAGATCTGTCGCCGACCTAGCATGGTTTCCCCCAACCAGGTATCTCTCACCAGTGAGGGACCGCCACAGCCGGGACAAGCTCTAAGCACCTGAGCAGTCTCCCGGCATGTGTGTGTGTAAGTAAAGTGTGAGGATAGGACAAGTAAGGGGAAGGAAAGATGGTCCGCCGTTCGTATGTTAGGGCGTTGCTCCGGGATCGGAGATACACGGTAAACTAGCGATCAGAGGAACTGACTTTTAGAATTCTCCTCCAAACAGCCACTGTCCCCTTTAGCCGTAAGTCGTTTGTTTCAATAATTTTCTAATACCATAGGAAATATTGCCAGCAAAAACGTCACGCAAATATAAGGAGCGCCGAACTGCGACGTCACGTCATATGCTTCCGCGGACCCTTCTCAACTGCCTTCGAGGGTTCGGATTCGGCGCAGCATCGTAAGTTGTGGCGCCAACGTCTCGGTCATTCCTTCGTGACCCTCCTCAAGGCCGGCTCACGGCTTCAAGATGTTCGTAACATGGTCATATCTTATACGGCCTGGAAGACAGGACGTAATTCGCTAGACAAGCCAATTAGAGACGAAAAGTTATGAAGCGACCGGAGAGGTCGATTTTTTAAGGGAAATAGTAGAAAAATATCGTCGTCTTCTTAAATCGCTGTCTAGGGAGGACACAAGAGAGTTCCACGACTCGACGACGCAGCATTTTGCTTACGGCTGCAGATCATTATCTCACAAGACTGTGTAGTTTTATACGAATAAATTCTGCAATATGAAATACGGAGACAGTGAGTACGACAGTATTACCAAAACATTCAGCCCCTCATGACTTACCGTAATACAGGCGGTTTATTACATTGCAAGCAGTACTACGTCAAGGCACGAAAAAAAATTCGGGCTGTTCTGATGAAAAGAAAGAGAAAGGATCATGAATACTTTTGAATAATGGATGCTGGAGTTTTTGTGGTTGAAAATAAACACAAATTATTGTAGAAAACGATAGCGTGTACAGTCATGAGGTGCATGAAGAGCACAGGTAGATGAAAATAGTAGAGGATACGAAGAGAAATAGGACAATCAAAAAAGTGATAGAGGAGCAGGTTTTTTAAAGGGTAAGTGAACAGTAAAAGATATCACAGGAAAATGAGGTAGAAAAATCAACGAAAAATCAAATTAAGACGAAAAATACCAGTCTTGAGGAATGGGTGAACATGTGCAAAATTTGGTTTACTTACTAATGCTTCGTTGCAATACAAAGTCACCAATTTATCAATTACTCTTGTAGAAAAATTGTGTTACAATGTAGTAAATCAAAGACTTTCCGTTTATCAATACTGGAGAGCTTACAAAGACATCGCAAAACAATGGATTAAAAAACCCAATTACATTAAAGTACATTATTTATTTATTTATTTATTTAATAGGTAATTATTGCAAACAAGTTAGATTACTTGATCCTATGTGGCTAGGCCGAAGGCCTTTAAGCCATTACAGTACCTACATCCTTTCGCGTTCTAATCTTTCGAGTACTTACGAGAATCTTTCGAGTCGATCTAAAGTACATTCCATTCTAGCGGCCGGTTTCTCTGATCGATAGGTTTCCGTGGTTACTACCATCAGTACCAGGCGAATTTCGGAGAAGTACCCAAAAAACCGGACCACGGACCGCACGCGATCTTTCATTCCCATTCCTTGCCCCATCCTGACACACCCTTACATCCACTATACTACCCCACATGTCAGGAGCTTAGAACTTGTCCTGGCGGGGCGACGCCCCAGCTGGTGGGAGATACCTAGTAGCGGAAACCCCGCTAGCCGACGGTAGGGCGCCGCCGGATTTCACCATCCCGCGTGGGAAGACCACAGCCAACGTCAGTACTAAACATGCACTACACTTACGGGACCAACGGCCGCCGCAGTTGACGCGCACAGAATCAGTAATCACCCAACCAGCGTCACGCCTCCATTCCCACCCCCTCCTCCCCTTCCCCGATCTCGGAAATCGAATAGCGGCCGGCGGGGGTGACGAGGTGCGGCGGCGGCGGCGGCGGCGGCGGCGGTGGCGTCTGCAATTTAATAAAACCCGGCGACGCGCGGTGACGCGGTGAGGGGGTTGAGGGAGTGGGGGAGCTGGATTACCGCGACCCTGCCAATCGCCGAGCCCCGCCCCCGCCTCTTCCCGTCCGCCCCCGAGCGAGCGCACGAGGTGCGCGCGGATGCTTGCCAGCCGGATCGCGCTGACTTTTCAAACAGCAGCCGGGAGACGGATCGCGCTTACCACGCACGGGGAGAGCACGGGTTTGGAAAGAAGCGAGAAAAAAGAGGAAGTGGATTGAAAAGCTGGGTATTAGCAGCAGCAGGAGCAGGAGCTGGGTATTAGCACATTAGGAGCAGGTACTGTAAGACGGAACGAATTTAGATTGCATAATTTGCGAATCAAAAAATGTCCATTTAGAAAAATATAGATCCCTCTATGTTATGCTATGTTTGTGCGATTTTTATATAAATACTGTAAAACATAAAATAAAATTACATTCTTGGAAAAATTACATCCGCTAATTGGACAACGTTTCAACAACTCGGTTGATTAGTCGTTTTAAAGCAGTATCAAACGTTTGAATGAACACTTATAGAAAAATACAGATCCCTCTATATTACAGGCGGACAAAAATTTTAATTTTCTAAATTTTCATTTTTTCGAACTATAACATTTAACCATTATTCAACGACAATGATGCTCTAAAATGACAACAAATCAAGATGTCGAAATAGTAATGAGGACAATGAATCCTGTAAATTAATTTTGTTTTAGGTATTACAAAATTTCAGAAAAAAGTGTTTTTTATAAAGCTATTTTTAATTTTCTAAAATTTATCATCAAGATTGTATTTAATTTATTACTGAATGTGACATTTTGTCAGAAAGATAAAAAATAATAGCATGGATGTTTTAGAAAATGGAATTTCAGGTTGGAATGCAGAGCCGATTTTTCGTTCTAAGTGCAATACCCTATGTTTAACTCATTGTTTTCCTGAAGCCAAACAATATTAATCACACTTTTCAGCAGATCTCCCCAACGCTAATTTACAGTCACTGGGTCACGAAGACTAGTCCTTCATACTCGTAGTAAAGAGCACACACATTTTACCTCACACCACATACACACGAAAACTCATCCATAATATCACAATAACTGTACTCACATGAAACAGTGATACTGGAATTTCTATCATCTTTCTCCATCACTTACCTAAAACAAACAAAAATTAGATGTAAGTAAGAATACACGAGAAGTGGTTATACAATTAAAGTATGTACTACAATGCAAATCAACATTCCAGCATTGAACCTTTAGGCTGATAAAATTAAATATAAATCATCGGATAGTGATAATAAATATCTCTATGCTAAAACATATACAGTTAAATACTAAAGAAAAAGGATCTTCAGTATTAGCAATTCTAGTGTGTGGGAGTATAATCAAGTAAGTATCAGCAGAAGACAGTATCTACAGAAGAAGAGAAATGTATGACATATAAATGTTCAGATGGCGGCATATATAATATAGTTTTGTCAACGAACACTACAAAGAACTAGAAAATAAATTTCAAAGAAGTATAGTGATAAATATAATTTACAATACAGTTACAACTCGTCACTCACGAGACACTACGAGAATTTTGCAAATCAGTATTAATTATATACACACAAGTGAAATTGAAAAGTAAAATAATTTGCCAAACACATATTCCAATCATGCGCATTGTCTACGACTGAAATGATGTACACCCCGACTATAAATAGCTTGAGCAATAAACTCAGAAAGCTAAATATCCTCATTATGACTCTCCCCAACTGAATCGAGCGTACAACCACAATACAGTGTTCGTTTTTTGCCCTTGGTTCAATGAACTTGCTCTACATAAATTACAAACATTTCACTGCCACATATGTACATTTTTAAACATGTCAATATTATCAAACTGTTTGATCCTAACTCACCATAAAGTCCACTCCCCAAAAGATTGGGCGCGTCACGGCACAGAGACACCAACACACGAAACCCGACAATCGCCGCCTGGGAGCAAACATCGTGCAACGGCGCTGTCTCCACAGAGGCAAAACACACGGAAAGCGCACGCCACATTCCAACACACTCGGCAAACTTTTTTTTTTTAACTCTCACCAATAACTCAAACACACACGTTTTAAGACGTAACTTCGCCGCGGTATCCGGCGGTCGTTACGCGTCGCACCGCACGTGTGAAGGGGACGCAAGCCCCGACAACGGCGCGTGAACTGCAAAGAGAAGGGGTGCAGGTAGCGAGGGGGAGAATAGGGCGACCGGAACTCGCAGTTGCCAACGGACCAGCTCTCGTAGGAGGAACCCCTTCTTGTAAGAAAGGTGCAATAACGACAGCGTCGGAGACGTCTTGAATGAATTTAACGGGCCCCTCAATCAGGCAAACGTTTCTTCAAACCCGAGGGGCGGAATGGTAAAATAGTTATTTTATATTAAGTACTTGAAGGATTTGTTGTTTTTTCCCCTCCACGATTTCAGATTGAGGGCAAAAAATCCTCAATCGGGATCGAGAAAAATCAATAATTTCATTTGCGAAATATAATAAACATTTTTTCTACGATCGTATAAAATGTTTCTACTACGAATCACGATTTGTTGCATCTCCACTATTCATGATTTATGCGAAAGCAACTCAAACATTCGTTAACATTTATAAAACAGGAAGCATTGATTTCGCGACTTTTAGTGATGAGGATCTTTTATACCTATCGTATATCGTAAATATCCTTTCGTATAAGAGTTGCTACGAGTTTCGTAACATATTATGTGTAAACTCGTACGTACAAATTATGTGTTAACACTTAACTATAAGTCAATAGTTATTGGCAAGAGTTTAATAATAGAGAAATTAAAGTTGTTTTTTCCATTAATGTGTTTTCCCTTTTTAATTTCTTGCTTCTGTACTACCTATCGTACGTAAAAGTATTTTACGCGCAGTGACGACACGTTTTTCAGTTATTTTAAGAAATGGCCCACTTCACACACGTGTATCAGCTCAGAGAAACCTACATTTTTATACGATCGCAAAAAAATACTTGAAAACGCATATTATTGACAACTGAAAGGAATAGGTTTGCAGAAAACTTCATATTTTTTACAGTAATTTCAAACTTATTAAGAATACGCCTGTCAAATATAGGATGCTCTGGTGATACCGCCAACACTCGAAAATACAGCTAACTATTTTTTATGCCTCACAAGAAATTTCCTAGTTTTAAAGTAATTACAATATATTTTTTTTAATTCCAACTTTTGAAGTACTCTCCGGAAAGTAACGACCATCGGAAGTTTTATTGCAGCTGTAAGATGTTTGAAGGAAATTTGCATCGTCTTGCTGATAATTTATCAGCACCATATGTAACAAAGTTCGCTTACTTTTCATGCTTACTCTCCTTTGTTTCTGCTAACGATCCGTCGCGTGCATTGAAGATATCGAGAGTTTTAAAACTCTACTTTCATCACTACAAACATAACAGAAAAAAGGTTCGGGAGACAGATCTTCAGCTTGCATCTTCCGCACACCGAAACAGCTGCTTATGTCCGCCAGCGAGCTGAACGGAGAGGACGAGAGAGAAATAAATAGAATGAGTGTGTGAGAGAGCAAAAGCGAGAACGTACGAGGATGAGAACGAATGTAAGAGGACCAACGGAAGAGAGAGAGATAGCGGACGAAAGAGAGAGAGATAGCGGACGAAAGAGAGAGAGAGAGCGGACGAAAGAGAGAGAGCGGACGAGAGAGAGAGAGCGGACGAGAGAGAGAGAGAGCGGACGAGAGAGAGAGCGGACGAGAGAGAGAGAGCGGACGAGAGAGAGAGCGGACGAGAGAGAAGATATAGAGGAAGAGCGAACGACAAAAGAACAAACAAGAGATAGAGAACGAGAAAGCACTAACAAAACATACGGATAGAGACAGAGAGAGGACACGGGCGAGTGACGGAGGGCGAGAGCTAGAGCTGGCGCTTATCACGGCGCACGGGTGTGGTGGTGTGTGCGGTGCGTGATGGAGCGGCGTGGCGCGTGCGGCGTGTGCAAACACGGGGCACGTCGGTGGCACGTGTGAGGGGAGGGGGAGGGTTGCGCGGATAGAGATGGAACACGGGCGGCTGGCGTGCTGGGTCAAGCGGGAAGGAGGCTGGGAAGGTCGGGGCGGTGGGCTGGCGCGAGGAGGGAAGGAAAGCGTCAAGTACTGAAGAGGTTCGCTGTTAGAAGTCAGGAGTAGAAGGGTCGCGCATGGAAAACTACGGTTGGCGCGGACAGGCGAAGCTGAGAAACGGCGGGCGGGGACGGAAAAAAATGGGGCGGCGCAGAGGAAGTGTGTGAAGTGGAGGTTTGCGTGTAGGTGCGGAGCAAGGTGGGTGAAGGTGAGGGGCGGTCGGACAGTTGGAGATCGCCGGTTGTGTAAAGAATCTGAGAGATGGAAGTAACGCTACGGGAAAGGTGGGGTAGATCGAGGGTGGGAGCGAGGTATGGCGGGGTGAGAGACGCGTGTGAATAGGTGGCGAAGCGAGAGAATGGGTGAGCGAGAACTTAGCATAGGCGGATGGAGTGAAGACTGACGCGACAAATGGCGTGATAGGCAGCTGACTTGAGAGATTTCGGCGTACTGAGGAGTGAGGGCAAGAAAGGAATGTGGATACGTTGTTGCAGAATAGGCGAAGCGCAAACGGGGTGTGGCAGTCACGCGTACATGTATGTGTGCATAGGTGGTGGTAGAGTATGACTAAAGCGAGTGTGGAAATGGAGATATCGGCTGAGGGAGGGGGTGTGGGCCGACGAGAAAAGTGGCGGTGTAGCGAAAGGGAATAGGGCAAAGGACGCAGATACGACGGATCAGCAGAATTAATTGGTTAGTTTATGATTCCGGGCGCATCAACTCATATGGTCATTAGTTTCATAAGTGAAGCGCAAGTTCTTCCCTGGGAGATGGCGGTGGAATACGTACGGTTCATGACCTGTTTTTAGGACACTGCTCGGGCCATCGCATGGTGATGATCGGAGAAACCACGGAAAACTACCGATGAGAGCAGTCTGTCACTAGAATTGTCCTCGAAACAGCGGCTGAATTCGACCTAGCAGTCAAAACTCGAATCCAGGAGTGCCTGGACTGGGACTGGGAGTGCCCCTCCCAGTCAGAGGCACTGCAATTTCATCACTTGATGCCTTAAGACACTTTTGGTGGTGATAATGTAATAAGAAAATTGTGAACCCACACATTCAAAAAGAGGAAAAAATATAACTACCTGCACACGACACCTTTTGGCATTTGGTGAAATTTCACTTTTTATCTACTTCAATTGTATAGTTCTGTCATTTGATGGCCGCGAAATTTACAAACCAAATATTGACAATTAATCATTGAGAATAGTTCTATTAAGTGTTTTGTTCTATAGTGTACATTAAAATTGCATTTAATATTATGCTTGTCATTTTAATTTATTTTATTATTATTAAATTTTCCGCGAAAAATTATTTAAAATAAATTGAATCGCAATTTCACTTTGATACTATTTCAGAATACTGATTTACTAGAGCAGTGGTAAACCAAAGCCACCTGCGACATGGGAAGCTGTAGGGAGCAGGCCTTGGCTAAATCCTGCATATGAACTGTCCCAAAACGATTCACTGTAAAATTTTAACTAATAAAAGTTATCATATGTCGTAGAAAATGTCCTGTATGAAACTGCATACAATAGACATTAATACACTCCTGTGAAGTTTACGACACACGCTCGTTCTTTCCTCTTATCGTAATATCATAAAATCCCATTATTATGTCTTTCCTTGTATTATTCTGAAGTGTAAAGAAAAATTCAAACAGTGGAAATATTATTTACATATTTCGTAATTTATATTTGAAGTATTAATACCCCATCATTACATCATTGTTTCGTACTGTACTTTCAGGGCCAAATCGCACGCACTCTTCGCAAGGGGTAATTTCATTCGTTCCCAACGCCATCGGCAAGCCAGTCCCTCTCCGCGGCGCGAGGCCAGCGCGTGCCCAGTCGCGTGCGCGCACTAATGCGAGCGTGAAGTGCGGGCGCCGCGTGCGGGTGCACGCGTGTGATGTGGGCGCGCGCGTGATTAGAGGACGCGCACCGCAGAGCCCCCTCCTTTTCTCTGTGCCACACTGACCTACGGGGGGCGATGACCGACCAGGAAGAGGA